CCAATCACATGCAGCATTGATGCTGGTCTTTATAGATGGCCAATCACATGCAGCATTGATGCTGGTCTTTATAGATGGCCGATCACACGGAGCATTGATGTTGGTCTTCACATCAAAGCTGCATCTCAAGAGTGACTTCTCCAGTCACATAGAAGGGATTCTTGCTTAAATACACACATTCCCAGAATGCTGTAGCCCTTACCTGGATGAACCTCAAAAGGCAGCACTACAGAAAAATACAGACTGTCAAACACTAACACGGGATTCATCCGTCCATAAGATATCCCACTTGGTATGTCTACTGTAAACAAGATAATGGATGATTAGCATCCTCTGGCCGGGTCAGTCAACTCAGGCCGTAAATATAAGCCCTGGGAAAGAGATCAAAACTTCAGCATTCAAATGTAGATGTATGAGCTGTACCTGAACACCACCTATGAAGAGATTACAAACTTTCAAATAAACAGGGTGATTAATTTGAAGCGTTTGCAGTACCTTAGAGCTCCAGAAGATTTTATTTTTGAGGGCCCATGAGATAGACGTGCGGAAGAGAGTAAGTTTGGGGTCACAGCGCGGGGTTAGCCAGCGTGCGGCACCTCTGTAGCCGGGGGTAGGGACTTCACTTAACGGCCCAATGGCAGCATCGTTCCATTTGCCCCAGGATTCGAACCTGTGACCTGAACCACACACCATTCTGATCACATGACATTACGGCCTTTTAAGGCATATGGTAAGTACATTAAAAAGCACCAACATGTGTTAATTGGACTCATCTGTTTTTAAATAGTAATGAGATGTGAGAAAAGCTCTCGTTTGTTAATTTGGGACACTAGAGCGTGAGGGAAAAGATGTAAATAAGCACTGAAATTTTCAAAGATAAAAGAAGGCTTGGCATAAACAATGCAATATGTAAATGTATTTGTGAGCTACAATTATGCATCCATTATCTGCAAACAGTGAACAATGAGGCCAAAATATCTCATCTGGATGCCTCATCTGGAACCTTCGTCGTGATTCTGCGGAGAATACAGATTCCCGTGACGTGATCACATGCCAAACGGATGTGTGTGTGAACAAACCTGCCTTTACTAGGCAACAAAATGCAAAGCCACCTCTCTACATGCATTTTGATTTTGCCTGTCACATTACTGGACACAGGGCACGATTTGGGCAGGAATGCTTTTATTTTCATGCATCCTATGAGGCCAGATGGTGACTGTCAGTCAGAGGAGCTGGGAGGTCCCTATGCCCACTGCTTCACCGTCTGATAAAAATTAATGCTGTTTAGCAGCACCTCTGCCAGTGATTATCACAGCAAACACTGCCCCCTGTTGGCTCTGTGGACGGGGCTTCCTGAAGTTTCCTGACAGCCTGTCTGTTTTGGTGGAGGAGAATCCTCTCCTGCCACGACCTGCTATCAAGCCTGTGATGAGGCCTAATTAAATGTCTCTTAATTAACTCAATGTGTGAGCGGTGGACTCACACATATACACAAACTCTCTGTGACGTATTCCCAATATTCATATCAATGTGTCACCTGCCATATGTGGGACAAAAGCTTGTAATCCACAACATGGTAAATATGGACTCAGTGGGTGATAATTACCTGTTAATTGGGCTCTACCCTTGGTGTCACAAATTCTCCGTGATTATCCAGAGTAAATGATCTGCGGATCACAGTTAAGCCTCCACTGTCAGTCGGAATACTGCAATTTCCTGTCATAAATTAAGTACGTTTTCAAAGCATTGAGGGATTCTTTCGCTGTTTCCTTTAGATAAGTCCTGCGCTGTGGCTTAACCGAAATGCACCTGGAAGTCTGTCGTCTGCACAGGGCCGTCCGTCCGGTCTGCTGATGTGCTGAGCGTGTCCACGTTAACCTGACTCACGGCACTGAGCGAAGCTGCTTCTGTCGTCTGCACAGGGCCGTCCGTCCGGTCTGCTGATGTGCTGAGCTTGTCCACGTTAACCTGACTCACGGCACTGAGCGAAGCTGCTTCTGTCGTCTGCACAGGGCCGTCCGTCCGGTCTGCTGATGTGCTGAGCTTGTCCGCGTTAACCTGACTCACGGCACTGAGCGAAGTTTCTTCTGCAGGCCTGAGCATTTCAGGATTTTGCTTAAATTCCCAAGTATAATTAAGTGGCTGCAGCATGATCATTGTTCCTGCTATTTGGGAGGGAAGGGGTTAACTTCCCTCAGGTTGGGAGGAGGAACCTGCTCCATTTTCGATAAGGCATGACACTCCTCGGGGGGGGGGGGTCAGCTCCCCCCTAAAGGCTCAGACAGGATACGCGA